AAGGAAGGAAGGAAGGAAGGAAGGAAGGAAGGAAGGAAGGAAGGAAGGAAGGAAGAGCATTATACAAAAAGCATTTAAATAGGTTCCTCTCTTTCATTTCCTCACCATTCTTTCCTTTTTCTCTGGATGTATTCTGAATTTCCTTAAACTTTATTAATTTAAAAACAGAAATGTTTATAAAATTAGCATCAAAACTCAACATATGTTAATTAAGCTTTTTTTGGAAGGAGGAGGGAAATTACATTTTTTTGGAGGGAGATGCTCCTTCATATGCAGGAGGCTTTGGGGTCTGGAGCAGGTTGGCTACAACTAAAAGGTTGGGAAAGGACTGTCTGCCTGCTGTCCCAGGCAAAAGATACAAGCTTTCTGCCTCGGCTTAACTGCAGCAGTGAGGGTCACTTGGTGCCACCACAGCGTGGACTGGACAGGAGCTTCTGTTGGTCCTGCTCAGCCCGGGACAGGGGCAGTGCTAAGCAGCTCTTGCTACTGCAGTTAAGCAGAGGTGGTGAGCTTGTGCTGGACTTCTAGTGAGTTCTGAGCCCAGAATTTTATAGTGAATAAATGTATTATTACTATTTAAAATTAATTTTGGGTGTACTTGACTTTTTAACCATGTGTGTAGGTTTCATGAGTAGCATGCATATGCACACAAAGGAGGAAATGTCGTCTGCCAGTCTTTTATGCTTTTTACTGGAAATTACATATAATTCTTTTCTTAGAAGAATGATAGATTAAGTTATGGAAGTATGCATCAGTATCAAAAATATGTTTGTATTTAAAAAATTAACCCGATACAGAATTAAATTTAACCTGGAAAACATTTTATGGATTGAAATTCTGCATGTGGATTTCTCCTACATCCAGAGTTTGGGTTCTCTTAATATAAGGGAACCCAGTGAGCAGTTCCAGTGATAGTCTCTTTTGCTTTAGGAACAAAAACCATGTGATGTTTAATCAGAAATGAAAGAGTTTATATGTTTCCCATCTAATTTATCTGCTGGTACTGTAGATGGTAGGAAACAATTGGCCATGTAACAAAGTATTTGGTTATGTTTCTATGGGTCCTGTGTGGGCCCCATGCTAGGAGCTTCTTCCTGCTTGTCATGTTGTATTGTGGAAATCAGAAGGCTGTACTGAATATGCAATAAAATCTGGTCTCCATTTTTAAAAATGTGACTATGATTAAACACAATTTGTGACATGTAAATTATTTTTTAATAAAACAATAACTTTAGACTTTAGATGTAATTGTTTTATACCTTTAGATCAGGAGTAGGCAACTTAATGTTTTCCAAATGTTTTGGAGTTCAGCTTCTCCAGCATAGAAAGCGGCAAGGATTTGTAAGAGATGTAGCCAAAAATATCTACCCCCTGCTTTAGCCAATAAAAGATAGCTAACCAATGTTGCTGGATTGGAGACCCTCTGGTTTATTCGGCCAAAGCCCCGATCTTCACCCCAAGCCCTGTGTTCCGGTACCAGTGATAATTTAATAGCATGATTTGATGAAGGTCTTTTTGTGAACAATCATAACTTTGAAGATGTGCATTATTAGGTATTGATAGTCTTTTATTAAAAAATATTTTTTTTCTTAACTGAAAAGAACCTTTATTGTTTTGTCAGAAAAATATGGAAAGGCAAACCAAAATTTATTTATTTATTTATTTATTTATTTATTTATTTATTTATTTAATTTCTCACCCGCCCATCTCCCCCCAATGGGGGAACTCTGGGTGAATCAAAAAAGGATGAAATCTAGTTTATGAGCTCAATTAGTTTTGTCTCTGAAATTATAAAAATAAAGGTTTATAGTCCTTAGCCTGTTCAAGTCAGTGTTAATAGTGTTGGCTGTGTTGAAAAATAAATAATAAAACATAACCCAGAGTGCTCACTAGTGTTTGACTTTTTTTGCTTTGGAGAGCTTGCTCTCCCAAATGGAAGCAATCGACTTCCATATCGTTTTTTCCAGTGTGCCTGGGCAGATGACCCAGAATACATGATTAACCAAACACTTTTTAGCTGGCATCTATAAGAGCTGTTAACTAAAAAAGAAACTAAGCACCCATGAATGATTCAACGGAATAAAAAGACTATAGGCCCTTGGAGAGTCCCTAGAATTCAGACAACACAACAATGACAGCAAAAAGAATTTTCTTCTCAAAAAGAGATTTTTGGCTCATATATTCATTTTAGAATTTAAAATGTACACATACCCCATCCCCAAGGAGGCCTCATAGTCATTTTTAATTACAACAGCAAAAAAGGATAAATGCATTAGAAGCACATCATATTATGAACAATATTCATAATATTCATGCTTTTCATTAAATGAATAATGGTGCTTTTTTATTTTCATCGGGCACATAATTCTTCTCAAAGGAATCATGGTTTGAGGTTGGATTCTGCAGCCTTTGGTTGAAGAATGTTTTTCTTTTCCCACAGTTTCCTTGTATAATTTTGATAAGACGAAGCAGTGTATTGGCACTATGACTATTGAGATAGATTTCCTGCAGAAGAAAAATATTGACTCAAATCCCTATGACTCAGACAAAATGGCGGCTGAGTTCATCCAGCAATTCAACAACCAAGCATTTACAGTTGGACAGCAGGTTTGTGCTCTAATGCTTTTACATACTTGTGTGTTTCTCACTTAGCAGTACTATTTCTGTTTGCTACCAGGAAGCGAATATTTATGAATGATAGGTTGCATGCTCTTCTTTTTAGATTGCAAATAACAAAAAGCTATCTGTTAACATATACCCAGTATATTTTTTGCAGGCTAGAAATGTTTTGGGATTAGTTAGGGCTTTTGATACCTGGATGAAGGCAAAATTCTTCAGGATATCACTTAAAAGTTTGTTGATTGTTATAATGAGTTGTTTATACAACCAGAATTTCTCAACTAATCCATGATATTCTGGAACATTGGTTGGAGAAGACCTCTGCTTACTGGAGCCTTTGGGAAAATTTCTGTTGGAACAGAAATGATAAATGAGCTAGGCTGACCAGTGTAGGGCTGGTACAAGACAACCTATATGTTTATTGTAACCATTAGTTAGCATAGTAATTGCAATAGAAAATAAAAAGGAAGTTATGATCTCACCACCACTTAAAAGCATTTCTGCTGCTAAATGCAGATAGAGGAAGAAAATAAATCCATGGCATAGGAGATCAAAGAGTGTATAATAGATTAGTAGTGCAAAATAAATAGTGTATAATGGACCTTGGGTTTGAAATTTGGTCTGCAACAGTTGTGAAATAGTAGTAGTTTCCTAGGTTCCTGTGTAAAAAATCAGATTTAGACATGATGGTTTCCATAAGGCTACCTAAGGAGTTCATCAGCAGAGACAAGATTCAAATTAGCTACTTCCTGATTTATAGCTCAGTCTCTTAGCCTGTTATGTTTCCTTAAATTTTGAGTTTGATATATGAGGGACATAGTCTAGTCATTAACCAAACACAATGCCTTCCAGATGCATTGGGGTGATTACTTCCAAAGTTCCCAGTGAGCATGAAGAATGATTGGAGTGTTTCTTTAATCAAAAACATTACTTAATCCTGGATTGTGATATCCTCATGGGCATTTTTCTTTCTCTACCCGCAACAGCTAATGATAAAGATGGATGAATAGATGGACTATATAATATAGGGCACAAGATGATAATGATGAAAAGAGGCATGATAAATAATCATATAGAACAGATTGTGACTCAGGGATGCGATTTTCAGCAACCTCTACTTCAATTTATAGTTCTGCTCTAAAATTTGCAGATGGGCAGAGGCCCTGAACTTCACAGCACGTACCTTGACACCTAATTTTGTATGCAGAGCATGTTCTCTGTCTCTTCTGCTATACTTTCTTTTAATGTGCATTTTTCTTTACTCCTGCAGCTTGTATTTAGCTTTAATGACAAACTTTTTGGCCTGTTGGTCAAGGACATCGAAGCCATGGATCCTAGCATTCTTAAAGGAGAATCTGCCACAGGTAAAAAACAGAAGGTAAGTTGCATAGTTGAATATGCATGTGGTCTTAAGACAAAGATCATCATTTGAAAACTGGCTGCTTTTAAATCAAACACCAGAATTTGGGAAAGGGCATTCTTTGTGGACATTTGGAGGCATCTTGCTTGGCCAGTCCTGAATTAAAGGTATCTAAATATCTGGTCTGATCTAGCAAGCAGCAACTTGAGGAGTTCCCAGTACTCCCCAACACCACATCTCTTGAAATTTGGCAGAAAAATGGCAATCTCTGAGACCTTGATTTTCTGTTCTTTTATGAAACAAACAGGCATGTTAAAAAATACCCTGACCCCCCAAAAGTAAAAAAATGGGCTGGAGATTTCAGATTTCAGTTCCACCTGATTCAGGGATATCACCAAGTCACTGCCATGCCTCTGAAGTCCTCTGAAGTCTAAACAAAAGGCAGTTCCCCAAGTGAAGTAATTACTTGATGTTTTAGTTTTTAAAAGAGGAACAAGCATTGTACTTTTATTATTTGCCGATGAACACTTCCTTTTCATATTATGAAAAATGCAACAATATCATAGTCATAAGTTCTCAGACTAGGAGAATTCCATAATCAAGGCACCTTACTGAAAGCCAACCAATCTCAAAGAAGGGGGAGAAGGAAAAGAAATAGTACAGAAAAGAAACACTTTAAGGAATGGTGTGTGGCTCACCAAAACTCCTAGAAATCAAGATCAAATCCTCATTACATAATGGGAGTGTATTCTGTCTTAAAGTAACATTTTCCCTTGTTAGATCAACATTAATTTGTCATATGTAAATATGACAAATTTTGTTTATTATGTTCATTCTTATATTAGAAGTATTCTTCTGCTCCCACATGCCTCATTTGCCAGGTTGAGTGATGGTATTTTTTGCACCTACCTTCTGTGCTGGCAGCTGTTTTCCTTCTTAGAACCTTAGATTCCTGATCCCTCTTCCTGTTTTCATAGATTGAGCTGGGAGCAGATAATCACAAATTAGTCTTCTTTGATACATGCTGCTGAAGATAGTGTGAAGGCAAAATGCCAGTTGGGTAGAAATAACTTCACATTCTGCTGTTTGCCAATTTCTTTCTTGCCTTCTGCATCTCAGTGGGAAATATTGAAAATGTCATTATTCTTAAAGGTTTTGTGTGTTTTGTTCCCATGCTCAGATTGAAATTGGTCTTGTTGTTGGAAATAGTCAAGTTGCATTTGAGAAGGCTGAGAGTTCTTCCCTCACTCTTATTGGTAAGTCTGATGTTGAGAAATAGTTTTGCATTCCAACCAGCTATCACAAAAGTTACTAATTCACTTTTTTTTTTACTAGTCTGTTTCCTCATATAGCCTTAGTATTAGAAGGAGTCTGGTAGCATCTTTTCTGACTAACAAATTTTATTAAAAGCCATAAGCTTTTGCGAGTTACAAAACTTCATCAGATGCATCAGTTCCCTAAGCAGATTGTTCTTTAACCAAAGGTACTAATGACATCTAGGTTTAAGAAAAACAAGAGTATACAAAAGAGATGGGAATAGCTAGATGCAAAGGAAAATTACAGTTTTAGAGCCTTTAACAGTAGCATGGAAGGAAGCATTTCAGTAGCCAGAAGTATAAGGACAGATGTCGCCTACTTCATAATCAGGGATCCTATAGCCAGAGCAAGAGAGAGTGAAACCACTTTCCATTTGGCATTTACAGATGAGGGATACATTTGGTTGACTTACATTCTTAGGTAAATCTACTTTAGTCATACTCCCTTGAACTGATGTGTAAAGTGGTTAAATATATTTATTTCATTTTTAAACTGCCTCTTAGAAATATCCTTTTTTCCAGTAAATACTCAACTTAAGGAGCATGCAAAAATGTGCATATGAAGGAGATGAATTAGGGGGAAAGTTGGTAAAAAATGAATACATTAGGGAAAGTATATATTAAAATGCATTTGTTAGATGTATTTTTTTTTTCACATTTACTCTGACTGTTTACAAAACCTGCTATGGAAGAAAAAAATTGGAAGGGGGAAGGAAAGTTAAATGAAAATAAAGTTGACGCATCTGTCCATCTTTGGCTCAGGATGTTTCCAAGCCTTTCCCCACTCCAGCAAAAATCAGCATCAACCAGTCACCCTATAGTTTTGAAGAGTGAGAGATGCTTGGCTCATCCACGTATTCTGCCTATGGAGAGCAGGTCATTTCTTCTTCAAAGCTCATGCTTGTCTTTTCTAACCATGGCCAAGTATATCTCTGTGGTCTGGCTGGGGAATTCTGGGAGTTGAAGTCCACATATCTTCAAGTCACCAAGGCTGAGAAACACTGGGCTAGACATTCCCTTTTTCTGCTCCTTTTTCAGGAGACAAAAAGCTACATCACTGACCCCTGGGAAAGCCATCCCATAGAAACTGTTTGAAAGACTGATGAGAGATGTTTTTTCATTTTATATTTTCATTTGGACCTGGGAAATCTCTCTCTCTCTAACCTTTAGATCTGATATATGCAATATGCCATGCCTAGGATAAAAGGCTGGTAGTACAGATCTGCCATTGATTCTGACCTTTTATGTTGGTAGATAATTCCTTTGAAGGCTTTTATCACGGTCTATATACAATCTATGCATGGTTTCATGATTATACATTGTATGTTGTATAGTATGATAATTGTGCATAGACCTTATATTTTAAATCAATTTGTAGAATATTTTTGAAAGTTCTCATCTACTTAATTTAGCAGGACCTTGCATTGCCTTGCTAATTTTACTAATGATGTTTTAATTTGCTAGATTATAACCCCTTTTTTAGATTAGAGAAATCTTGTGGGATTTGATTGTTAATGAAAATGTCTTGTGGAGTGAAGGAAAAACCATGATTATTTTGTTGTCAAAGTTTCAAATACCACTCATGGCCAGGATGTGGCAGTATCGAATAAGAAAAATAAAGTGGAAAAACTGAGTGGTTAACTTTGCTGCTTCCCTGGAAATAAAATAAAACACTAGAACCCTGCAATTTAAAAGCTAACCTTTTACCTTAACTCAGTTAATGAACTTCCATATGACCTCCCTGCACCTCTTTCATTGCCTTGTAACACTGTCATTCACAAAGCTGTCATGACAAAAGAGTTGTAGCAATCAACATTTCTTTCTCAGAATCTAGACTCTAAACCAAGGAAGTAATCCCACAGACCCACCCACCCTTTGATTCCAGGACTTATGGCTTCAAGCCTCCAAACTTTCTTTCCTGTCAATTTATACAGTCCCTTGTAATCAAAGCCCTATCTGTGGTCTTGTACCTCCCCCATTATTTTCTTTATTCCTTCTCGTTCTTGCTTCTACTTCTTTTTGTTGTTCAAATCCTAACAGCCTACAACTGCTCCATTTTATCGAGCACTCTTTTCTCTCATAATCTCCAAAGCCATTAATGTTGCTACCTAGATCTTCTGGCATGGTTACAGGGTGCCATTATCCAACACACTGCACATAATAACAACAACACACTTCAGCAGAGTTCCCGCTTCTCTCTCTCTTCTTAAGGCCTTTTGGAGAAACCAAGATGCCAAACACAGATGTCTTTGCAGGCAAGAGAAAAAATGCCAAAAAGCTGTCATATACAGTAGGAAGAGTATGGGTAGCAAGGAGACTAGAGAGTGCTAGAAATAATGAGAATTAGAAAGCAATAGAAAGAGAACTGGAGAAGAAAAACAGGGGGATGTAATGTATGTATGGACTCCCAGAATGCATTTTGTCAGAGCTCCATCAACCCTTTCAGCACCATTCAGATGTTCTGGGTTTCAAGTGCTGCCAAGTTTTTTCAAAGCCTCTTCTCTAATTAGCCTTTTCTTGCTCTAGATGTGTTCTCTTCCCTTTTCCTTATTCTTATTCCTTACCTACCTTTCCTTCACTCTCATTTAGACGCACATGCCAGCTCTTAGTCTTCTTTTGACTTTTAATCCTTTATTTCCTCCACTTTTCAGGGCCTGCTCTCATTCCTCCTTCTGCTCTTTTGTGAGAATATAGTAAAAATATTCTTATCCTTTAAAAAGCTTGACAGACTTTGCTACATAAATGGTGTATGATGTAGGCCTCAGTTCCCAGGATTATCAATAATGGCCATGTTGACTGAAACATTCTGGGAGGGGAAGTCCACATTTTGAAATGCATCCAGGTTCAGAAAGGCTGAACTATGCCAGCTCTAATTCCCTAAGTGATGGACCTTACAAGTTATAGACCTGCTGGATTGGCTTTTCAAGGTCAGAAGTGTAATGGAAGGCAGAAGTGGGTGAACATTAGCTAGGTCTGAATTTATTGGTAGAACTCTGAATCATTTGCAATAGATCAGCAAGGATTCCTGGTACCCAAGTGTGGTAAAAACAACAATGTTGTTCCTTATCTTCAGTTATTCTACTGAAATTAAGGAAACAGATTTTTGTGGGGACTCTATCAGTTTAAAGCACAGTTCTGAGCTCTAGAAGAGTTACTACATGAGGCTATTGCAGGGAAGAATTTAGTGTTGTGGAAGCCTCCGCAACAATAAACAGGCATACATAAAACAATGCTGTTACATATTACTGTAGCCATTGGTTTGGGTTTTTTAATTTTTTCTTTCCCTTTTAGTATTAAGAGAAGTATGGGATTGATTTTTAAATGTAATTTGTTTTCAGAATAGATAATTGAAATGAAGGACAGGATCTAGTTTATCAATAACTACTATGTATCCTGTCTTGAAATAAATCAGTAATTTTCCTGTGTGCCAATTAGAATCCTTTATGGAAAGAATGGTTAAATATATTGGCCCCTTGATACTTAGCAGCTAAATATATCCTCCCCCCCCCCCC